GCATATACTTCCCCAAAGCAATTGGAGTGGAGAAAAACCTTTTAACTATGATGTGTAACATGGCTTTAGAGTGTTGGTAGCGTTGAAAATGCTCTCTTTGGGTGGCATTACTTTTGCCAGTCTTTTGTATGCAGATTTGTAAGTTATGACTAACTCAGCTGTATGTGGTTAGGTTGTTTGATGATCAGCACTGGATGGTTCTCACTCAAGGATGAGTTTCACTGCACTTCAGTGCTGTCTCCTAGAGTCAGCTGTTCTAGCACAGCTGGTCCACACAGGTCACCTTTGTACCAGTGACCATGGTCGGAAAATATAGAAAATAAGCTTTCATGTGATACCAGGAGGCAGAGCCCTGGGCACAGTCCAGTCATGAGTAACCATTATATTTAGTGCCCTAACTTCCACAACCTCAGTCGTGACCTCTTTTGGGACTTCTCTACCCTCTCAAACTGGAATAATGACTTAGATACAGAGCTCAAATCAACGGCTCCTTTAGCCTGAATATAGAGCTACTTGGCAAACATTGAGTTGAGAGGAGGTAGAGTCGTCCTGCACCTGGACAGTTCCTCTGTGTAATCCTGGACAGTCTAATATAATAAAGGGGCAGTTTTATATGCCTAGCAAGTTGTGAAACGTACAGTGGATTTGTTTGCATAATGAGTCTTTCTGTAATCTACTGTGGTCTGATTTTAAATAAAATAGCATATCTCTTGGTGTCGTGTTCCTATTGTGGCTTCATTTCATCACGATGGGGTTATGTTAATGTTTTTCAATACTAGGTTGTAGGTGAATGTGGAACATAAATTTGCAAGAGAATAACTTTATTCATAGTAAGTCTGCTGGCCATGTTTCTAGTGACTGGATAGAGCGAGTCCATTTTGTGTGTAGCTGATAGAGGACAGGTGTGCTCGGAGTACATTCTGCACGTTGTCATCGTGGCAACGTGCAGCCCATGGTGGGCTCTCTTGCCAGGTAGAGTCCCTTCCCTTTTGTTTTAGTTTCCTACAACTAGCTGGAGTAGTCAAGTGTTCACAGTCTTCATCTGGAAAAGCTGAAGGGAGGGAGAAAGCCGCTTTTATTGTTAAAAAAGGAGTAACTTAGATTTCAGCCAAGACAACTTAGGAGAAATGAGTCAACCCAAGTTATTTAGGAATATGAGTCAGAGGGCAGAAAAGACCTGATGTTATTTTCTGTGATATCTGTCAGTTTAATACCAATGTGAAATAGAAATCCTACTGCAGAGTAACTGGTAATATATGGAAGAAAATCCTTTTTTTAATTGTTTCTTGATACGTTCCGTTTGTGGTGGCTGTGGGGATTTGATAACCTTCTGCTGATGCAGAAATAGGAAACTACAGATGAGGAAAACTTGCTGTGCTGACTCAGTGCAGGTGGGCGAGGGAAGGGGATGATGTTACATAAAAGCTGCAATTCTTCAACTTGGCTCTTCTAAGAATTTACAGCAACGCCCGAGTTTTGCAGCTTGAAGAAGGTGTGTGCAAAACTTGAAGAAGCGTCTGTTCTGAAACAGGTTCCGAGGGTCCTTCCCCACGGCTCACGTGCACCAGGAGATGGTTTGGGGTGGGATGGTTCCCTGTGCGAAGGAGGGGTAACCCAGCACGGCCAGACCTTGCCAGGCAAGGAGTTCACATGTCAGTTGTGCGACGGATAACAACAAAAGTAACGCAAAAAAAGGCAAATGGTATATCAGTGATAACACCACCAGTATTGCACATGGTCTTGACTTGTCCCTTCTCGTTGGTAGCCAGCTTCAGAGGCTGTGCAAGCCTACACCGATCTTTCAGCAGCACTTGTTCCTGTAATTCGAGTCCCCCTCTGGTTGTATATTAATCAGCTCTGATACAAGCCTTGTACAGGTATGTCTGTTCGCCTCTCTAAGACTTTGTCACTAGAAAGAAGACGTATTGTTTTGAGTTCTACTGAGATTTTTTTGGGTCTCAACTGAAGTTTTAGAGCAGCTCGAGGCTGATGCCCCAGCTGACACCTTGTCCCTAAAGCAGGCTGTTCCTGGGCAGCCTGTGGTGATCAACCTCTCCAGAAGCCAAATCTCTGTTTTTCCCTATACTTGCGGCACAAATCACAGCCTGCTGAGGCTGGAAGACTTACTAGCACATACCTTGAACCCTGGATCCTGCTGCAAGCTAAAGGCTATCTTTCAGTACTACTTATTACCTCCAACTTGTTCAAGGGTGCTTTTAATGCACTTTTGTAGATGATGAGTAGAAATTTTTTTTTTCCTTCAAAGCTAAAAACATTTCCTCTGACCACACAAGCTAATTTCACACCTTGCTACGTGCCCTTAAAGTTACACATTATTCTAGCAACCGTTGCTCAGGATGAGCTAATTTCTGAGATTCATTAATCTTGAGAGAAGCTGGCCACATCCCGTAGAGGATGGGAGGTGACGAAGTGGCTGCAGTTCTCAGCACTGGAATGAGACCACCTGGTTGAGGAGAACATGCGGATTGTGGAGAAACGTGGAAATGTAAACAACGTCCTTTAGCCTGGTGTGTGTGTGTTAGTTGTGTCTCACTCCCAGACGTGATATGAGGGGAATACATACCATCTTTGTATTTTCTGTTTTGATTTAAACTTGCTTATCTACCAGGCATTTGTTAAATGGTTGTATTAGCTGACAGTTCTGTGTTTCCCAAGTAATTTTTCCGATTGGGCCATTCGGAAAATACTGTCACTAATAACAGTACTGCCCAGATGCACATAACTTGTGCCTTAGTCACAGCTGCTGGTCGGGAAGGCACAGAAGGGATATAACCCACCTTCCAAATGGGTGGCTGCTGTCCATGGATTCAGTTAAGGGCTCTTAAAATCCTATTTACAGAAGCTTTTTTTACCTGACTTCCCAGAGCGTGTAACAGCAGCGTTTTCTATTTGTGTGCTTGATTTCAATAGACCTTTTTTTTTTTCCCCCAATGATCTGAGAGACACTTGTGTTTTGTAAACTTTGCTCTCTAGAGTAATGCTGTTACTGAACTGCAGCTGCTTTGTGTGCTCGTGTTCAAACTAATTTGTGGTTACGGGAGATTTGGCTGCTGAGGGAGCCAAAGGGTGGGGAAAGGCGAGTTGTGATAACAGGCTGCTTGAAAACTGCTTCAAGAAAAAGGAGTTGTACTGTACTAACCTTGGTGGAAGGAAGCAGCATTTCACAACTTCTGGTTATTTTCCATTGCTTTTGTCACAGGTACTGACTAAAATTTGTTCTCAGTAGCACAAGAAGTTAAACATTATCTTCTCTCTACAGCAATGGTATTTAAAAGTCATTACCAAATTGGATCCTGTACAACAGGATGTCTTGATGACATCTCAAAATAAACCTCTGCATACAGTTTACGGTTGTGATTTTTTTTTTTGTCTGGTACAAATAGCAAATTCTTTCCAAAAAAGTATAGGAGTTAAAATCTTAAACTGGACAGTAAGCTTAATTTTGGTATAAGAATTACTTTAGCACATAGGTTACACTTTAAGTGGCTCTTGGAGCTTGTTTTTATTTTTTGCTGATGCTTCTCCAGACTTTGGACATGCTGGCCTAGGTTGTTTTACCTGCAGCCTCTGTAAGGACCCATTTAATAAATCATAATGAAACAGCAGTGGTGTTAAACAAGTTACATTTATCCCCAGCATCATTCTTAAAGCCACGTTTTTACTTTATTTTTGAATTCTTGAAGCTTTAAATAGAGCTGCGGCTCGGTTTACGGTAGTGATTTTAGCATTCTTGATTAATCAGTATTTCCATTATGAAACGTAATGTTGTGAGTGGTCAGGATGACGTCAGTCTCCCAGCAAATATATCTTTTATCACTGTCTATAAATAGACTGTGAGCGATTGCACAAAGTGCTTCCTTGTACCAAGGGAAAAGGTTTCTGAAAGAAACGAAACTCGGTAGGGAGCTGGTGACAGGTGCTGCTGTATCTTGATAGACATTGTCACTCGATGTGACAGCAGTCACCTGAGGGACACGGCTGGAGACGCTGCTCCCAGCTCTCCTCTGCTGCCGCTGTAGATAAGAGGTTCTTTGTAGCTTCATGGAAAGCCTGGACAGGATGTAAATCTTCAGGCTGGAAATGATCTCGATCTAACTTGCAGGGTTAGACCAGCTGCTTGCCCTGCCCAGTAAGCCCAGTATTAACACCAAGGCCTTTTAATGGGGAACACACCTTATACATACAGTTGGTTGGGAAATGAGAATTGTGGTTTGCTCTGCTCCCCAGAGGAGTTGTGCATAAAACTGTAACGTCTGTTTTGTGACATGTAACCTTGGAAATCTTAAGTCATCATTAGACTGCTACATAACTAAAATAAATAATAAAATACCCTATAAATGTGTGTTCTTGAGATACAGCAACTTATAATTCTAGTTAACTGCTTTACAGCCTGTTGTTAATTGTAGGACCGGAAAGTCGTCTTTTTTACTGCAGCTCATGTGAAATTTGATGGTAACTGGGAGTCAGAAGGAACTGGATGAAAATGCTGATGCTAGACTTTTGAAAAAGGACCCTCACAAATCTCTTCATGGGCATTCTCGCTGAGCTCCAAAGGCTTCCTTCAGTCTTACCCTTTCACCGATGCATCCAACTTGCACCAAGAGGTGCACTGACACTCGGCCCTGCAGATACTCCCAGTTAAGCACAGAATAAACAGAATCTGCATTTCTTGTGAGGCTGCAGGGAATGGCTGCCCTGGCTGGAAGCTGGAAGGCAGCATTGATCCTGCACCCACACTGCTGCATTGCTTTTTATTTAAGCTACTTATTTTCAGTAAGGCTGCCAGTGAGAGCCATGTGGAACTCATACACCACAGAAATTAATGCTCTACTCTGCCTGGGTGAGCTGCTCACGCTAGGCAGGGGGCTAGTCTTGACATATTCGTGGAGAAACTGCATAAATACGGACCTACACACGCATATATGTGCATAAATATGGGTGTATACACATATATAAAAAATATGCAAACATGCATATATTAAAAAATACATATAGATGTACTGCTACACAGATAGACATGACTCTATCAATAGATCTGTTTATGCACATGTACACCTAGATACAGGCAGACAGTGGGTGCAGGGCTGCATCATACATCAGCATCTCGCACACCCCACTCTGCTCCTGGGCTTTAGCCATCTTCTTTGAGGCACTTCATTGCCTTTTGCCACCCTGGAAATCAGGGCAGGCTTGCTTCAACCAGCAGAACCCTGCACCACAGCACTGGCCCCCTCACCACCACCAAGCTGACCAGACACTGCAACATGTATTTTAAATATTGCTTCTTTAATAATCTACATCGTGGTAGTAGCTCCAAGGGAAGATACAGCTGACAGGATTTTCATTCTGCTCCCACATCTCTCCACATCAGTAATTCCTTATTGCCGCAGATTTCTCTATCCCCTGGCTCCCATAGGCCACGGTTAGATTTAATTCTGCTAATTATTTAAAATATAAAACAATGCAACTGATCCCCTGATGTTGCTGTAGTAATAAAAAATAGAAAAAGGAAAAAAAAAAAAATTTTTTTATCCTTATTGCCAGTGTGTGCCAGTAACTGCTTTTTCCCTTACAAAAGCCCTGCTCCTCACGCTGGTTAAGGCTAATGTCTCCTTCTCCACTGAGGGCCAATTCCAGGCTGAAACAAAGTCAAATTATTCCTCAGGATGAAAAAGGGGAATTTAAAAAACGGTTGCAAGAAAAGCCCAACAGTTTCCTACTTTAAAAAACAGTTCACAGTTCTTTGAAAGGGTCTGAGCAGTACAGTAGAGAGCTACATTTACTGAAAACTTCTAGTGCTGATAAAGTTTTTTAAAAAAAATTTTAACCCAAATGAACCCCAAATTAAATTAAATGGGGAGAGCTGGTTGGCAGGCCAGGAGGAGGAGGAGGGCGTCCCACGTTACCCAAGCCCCCCTGCTCTATGGATAGCAATCAAGTGAAGAAAAAGAAAAAATTATGCATCTTTAAAAAAAAAACATCCAGTTTTCCAGGCCGGGTGATGAGGAGACCCCCTCACACGAAGGCACACCAGCATGAAGGCAACGTGATCTGCTGAAGAAGCCAGCCAGCCCTCACTAGATGTTCGCCCCGTGAGGCGGGCACAGGCCGGCATCTCGCTCGGGCTGAAACGAGAGCGGGGATAAAGCAAAATATCAGTCCCTTGTGCTGTGAACATCCCCCATCCCCGGTGTGTTTGCCCCCCGGGGACCCTACCTCCCCACGGCCGGGCTTCTGGGCCAAGGGGGGCTTCTTGAGGATGCCTCGCCTGGGGGCTGGCGCCGGCTTCGCCTCCCCGTCCTCGGCGGCGTCGTAGGCCCCGGCCAGGGCGTAGTGCTGCTTCCTCAGCTCGCCCAGACGCACCCGCTTGCCCTCCAGACGCTTCTCCAGCTCCAGCACCTTCACCTGCACCCAAACAGCCGTCCTGGGCCCTGCGCGCCCCGGGGCGCGATCCCCACCGTCCCTCTGGGGTAAGGTGGCGGGGCAGAGGGGACCCCCCGTCCTTCCACGGGTCTGGATCAGAATCAGCACCAAATCTACCCTCATGGCCATACCTGTGTTTCCATCTCTTCCTTCTTCAGCTTGATGAGGGACATGCCTGAAAAGTCCATGGTGTCTGCGGAGAAAAGTGGGGGGTCCCCACTGAGCGTAGCCCTTGCAGAGGACCCGCGTGTGCCAAAGTGAAGACAGATGGGCACCTCGGGGTCTTCAAGAGGCCAGAAAGGGACTTGGTGGTTTTTTGGGTTTTTGTTTTTTTTTCTTTCTTCCCTTTCCCTTGCAAACACCTCACCTTTCTCCTCGATCTGCTCTTGCCCTGACTTGGTGGAAGCCACCACGTTGGCTGCCATCTCATTGACATTTCGTGAGCACTCCTGGAGCCGGCCCAGGTTCCTGCTGCTCTTCTCAGCTTTCACCTGCAAAGAGCAGAGGGGTGGCTGCGGGTCCCCGCCACGGCACCTCCCCGTGGGTTCCCACCGGCTCGGGGGAGCTCCCAGGCAACCGTGTTCTGCCTTAGAGCAGAGACGCCAATCACACCATGTCAGAACAGTTCTCAAGCATGAAAATCTGGGGGGTGGAAAGGACAGACGGACAGATGGACACATGTTTATTCTTGATGATCCCATCATGACCAGACAAGGTGGCCCCTGCAAGGCCCTTCAGCTCCAGGACACCAAACCAGCTCTGCTCCCCGCTGAGCCAAGCACACACAGATAAGCAGCACCAGTGAAGACAGAACCTTTTTTTTTTTTTTTAACCATGCGCTTACTTTTAAAAACATCTTCTGTAAAAAGCAGTATAGGTCTTCCTCCTCCCAACCTGTATCACTGAAACCTCTACCCATCACTTTTGCCCACACCAACAGGAAAGGTGGCAAGGACCAAAATCCATTATTCTCAATGCTGGCTCCTGCAGTTGCTTATTTGGGGTTTTCCGTTAGTTATTAATTTTTTTTTTAACATAATCAGCTTGACAGGAGGTTCTACACATCATCTTTTCTAAGGCAAAACCTGCTAGGTGGGGGAATATTAATGCAGGTGAAGACACAGGGATTAAAAATCACAGACTGCCTTGAAAACAGTAAGAGCTTCCCCCTTCCCCCCTGCTCCGAGAGGAGCCTGCAGGACTGGTGGACAGAACGGCCACACACCACCGCCCAAAAGCATCTATGGGACAACGCTGTGGGAATAAAATGACCTAAAACCTGGCGAGCCACACGCAGCCGATCTCGCCGAGATACCCACCTTGGAGGCAGCCACCAGCTGCGCTGTGCTGGCGGCGATTTCGTGGGAGCAGACGATCAGTTCTTCGTATTTGCCCGTATGCAGGACAACTCTGTCTGCCGACTCCCTGCATTATAGGTTAAGAAGGGAGATTGTATCAGAGACACTCGCTGTGAAGCACGAGCAGATTATTTATCTCCCACTGTACCCTTAGAAATCAGCATCAGACTTTGAACCAGCAGCTTTGCCTGTAATTTATTTAAAGCTCATTTACAAAGCAATGACTCAAAGCCCAGATCCAGAAGTTTTAGATGGGTATAAAATACCAGTGGAGGCAAGACTGTATTTTCATAATGAAGTGGATGAAATTTTTAAAGTCCATATAATTTAAAATTTTTTTGTCCAGAAAAACCCCCGCATTTCCTGCACTGGCACAGGGATTCCCTACCCCGATCCTGACCACCCCATCCACAACCATCTGAGCAGGAAGCAGGACATGGAATATTTGTGGAATATTTCCACAATTTGCAAACAAGGAGAAAATGGCAATCCCTATTTTAGTGCCCACGTGGTCCGACCCAGGCTACGATACTATATCAGGAATTGGCAATAATGCTGCAAGCAGACTCAGCAGTGGGATAGTTTGGGTTATCAGGTGATGGAGAGACACGGGCTGGCCCCGGGTGCAGCATGTGGAGCTGTGCCCAGAGAGGAGCCTCCCACAGTTTCCGTGGGAGAGATCCTGGGGGTACCTACACGAGCTGCGTGGCTCCCCAGCCCACCGCCTTGGAGGCAGAGATCAGCCCTTCGGTCCAGCGGGAGTTCTTGGCATAAAACTCCTGAGTTGTTGCTGCCCCCTGTTGTTATGAGAATATTATGGCCTGTATTAACTTCTTTCTAGCACGCATCAATATATAAATCCATAAATTCATATAAAATATCCATATAAAATACGAAAAAATATGAATTCCTCTATAAAGCCATAAATCAAGGGATTGGCAGCATTTCTGTGCCCTTAAGGCCGCTCTTACTGGCCTGATTAAATACATATCAAGGAAAGAGAGCAGCCCTGCAGAGAAGGACTTGGGGGTACTAGTGGATGCAAAACTGACTATAAGCCAGCAGTGTGCACTCACAGCCCAGAAACCCAGCCCTGTCCTGGGCTGCACCCAGAGCAGTGTGGCCAGCAGGTCAAGAGAGGGGATTCTCCTCCTCTATTCCACTCTTGTGAGACCCCCCTGCAGGGCTGGGTCCAGCTCTGGGGGCACCAACAGCAGAAGGACACGGACCTGCTGGAGCGGGGCCAGAGGAGGCCACAAAGATGCTCGGGGGGCTGGAGCCCCCCCTGTGAGGACAGGCTGAGAGAGTTGGAGGGTTCATCTGGAGAAGAGAAGGCTCTGGGGAGACCTTAGAGCGGCCCCCAGGGCTGAAAGGGGCTGTAAGAAAGGGGGGGAGGGACTCTTGATCGGGGGGTGTAGGGGTAGGATGAGGGTTAACAGTTTTAAACTGACAGAGGGGAAATTTAGATTAGATAGAAGGAAGAAATTCTTTACTGTGAGGATGGTGAGACACTGGAACAGGTTGCCCAGAAAAGCTGAGCAGCCCATCTCCAGCAAGTGAGACTGCCAGAGTACTAACAACACAGGAAAGCACTAAATTCTGCTGGCATTTCTGCAGACTGTGGGCAATTCTCCCATATTTCATGTCTGTGCAGAAAGACAAGTATTGGGAAGGACTTACCCGGCCACTTTCTACTATCTCCTTCTGTAAGTTTGTAGATGTTGTTACAAGAAGTCTAATAGCCTGGAATGAAGGAAAAAAGGTTTTGGTGTTCGATGGGGATTTTACAACGGAAGATTGATGCTGCTGATGGTGGAAAGTTACAGTTTTGAGCAGTCTTTGATGCCCCACAGGTTTCTGCAGTACTGACCTTCATTAGGTCCGTGCAGGAGTTCAGAATCCTGTTAGGAAACAAGAGACAAAGTGTTCAGCATCCTCTGACACTGCATCCAGGGAAGCAGGCTTTGGCCTCAGTTAGAAAATGAGTCTTTTCTGGAGACCAGCCAGCCTGCAAGGTTACTTGTAAGCAGCCCACACAGCGGCTGCGAACACCTGACAAGATGAAGGTCCACCTTCCTAGAGAGGATTTTGTGCTCAGCATCGGGAGTGCAGCACCGGGTTGCACACAGGGCTCTGGAGCAGAGCCCAGCCCAGCAGGGTTAGGAAACGGGACAGAAACCTGCCCGTGGCTGTCACATGCTGCCCCTCAAAACTCACCGCTCGTTCACTTCAAGCTTAACACCGGAGCTCTCACTTCTGGCCTGGCTCATCATCTCCTGTTGGGAAACACAAGAGGAAGGTTGGACGCCACGTTGCTGCAAGGGCGAGTGGGGTGGAGGAGAGATGGGAGACTCTGCTGCCCCAAGGCACCAAAATGGTCCATCCTGCAGCTTTGTCTCACCTCTATCCGCCTGACAGCGTCCTCAATCGCCTCTGAGGTGGAGGCCATCTCCTTCTCAACCATGTCCCCCAGCTCTTCTTGCTTGATGTCCAAGCTCTTAGGCCTCAGCTCCTGTCGGAGAAGGCAGCAGCCATCAGGAGGTTTTAGGTAAAGAGAGAGAACGAAACATTTGTAGGGAGTAACATCAAACCAAGGTGTCTGACTGCTTTTTTTCCCCTCTAAATAAGTAAAGCTGCAGGAGCAGCATTCTGCAGACCATGAGGGTTAAGGCACATGTGCTCCCAACTGGCAGCAAACGTGGCACAGGGACCTCCAGAGGTAAGAAATGCCCCAAATTAAGGTGACAAAACTTGATTACAGGAGCAGTTTTGGCAGGGCAGAGCTCCAGAGGGCTCTAGAGAGCTGACAGCCTTTGAATTAAGCAGTTTAATGGAAAAGACTAACGGAGGTTTCACAAGAAGAAATATCTGAAAGTTGAGAAGTTTTATTCTGCAGGGGCTACTGGGCTGAAAGACTTCAGCTGGTCTGACCACCAGGAAGGGTCTTGGTGCTTGGAAGCTGAGATAGCTCAAGAAAAGCACCAGAACTTGTGGGTATGGGATACAAGCCACCCCAAAGTGCTCACCCAACCCAGCATCTCTGGTTTCAACTTTGGACAATAGGGAAAGCCATGGTGTGATTTTTTTTTTTCCTTCCAAAAAAAAAAAAAAAAAAAAAAAGCGTCCATCGAGGCGCAGCCAGAAGGCTGCAAGCAAACAGCCCACCTTGACAAACGGAGGCAATGTCCTTCTGCATCTACTGCCTGCTTTGACTTTTTTTCTTTAGGGAATACCAATGCCAGCAGATAACCCACCCTGCCAGCCCTGGGCGGGGAGGTGGGTACGCTGGGCTCCATCTCCTACCTGGGCCAGCTGCAGGACCCCCCGCAGCGCCCGCCGCACGTCCCCCAGCTCAGCACACCCCAGCGTCTGCTTGTCCTTCAGCTTGCCCAAATAGTCCAGGCTCTGCTGCCCACAGTCCCGACACGTCTCCGTCAGCCCTGGGGAGAGGATGGGTTGGTGCCAGGCCCAAGGGGTCCCTCCCATCCCAGTCCTGCTACCCTCCTCTTCCTCCTTCCCTTAGTTGCAGAGATGATGCTGAGCATCAGCAGCACCCAGCAGATTTCTTGCAGAAGAGCAGAAATTGGTGTCCAGGAGAAGCAATGTTATTGGCCCAGAAAGGGGACCAGAGAGGAGGGAAAGGGGAGCACAGGGAGCTGGGGGGACCATGCTGCCCTTGGGGGAGATCTGCCCCATATCCAGCTCCCAGAGGAGGGAGTTTTGGTACAGCCACCCCAAAAACAAGCCCCAAAAGCATAATCCCCCCTCCCTTGACACCTGCTGCGCCCACGCAGGGCACTCACGGTCAGCGTGGTCGGTGGGAGCCAGGTGGGACGTGGCGCTGCCGTTCACAATAGTGTCGGCCGTCAGGTGTGCGAAGAGGGCCAGAGCCCCCACCAGCCCCGCAGCATCTGCTGGCAAGAGGATGCGGTCAGGTGCTGCCAGCCCAGGGCACCACCTGCCATGTCCTGGGGGCTGCAACCCGCCCTCAAAGGCTCTTAATGGTCAGTGCAAGAGCTCGGAGAGGTTGGCACTGACCCCTCCGGGTTGCAGGTTGCTCCCTGAGTGAGCCCATAGGAACCCACCAACTGCACCCGCCGTGCCCCTCCGTCACCAGGGCACTGCACGCTTGCCGACGGCCCCGAAGCAGCTGGAGGCTGCTGGATGTATAGAAGCAAGATCCAAGCCATGCCACCAGTCCCCAGCCCCAGGTACCTGCCATGGAGGCCACGTACTGCGCGTGCCCGTTCTCCAGGGCGTCCGTGGACTCCAGCGCCGCCTGTGCCCGGCTGAGCAGGTAATCTGCAAGGAATTTATAGCTTCGTTAGCACGGTCAGGCTGCTGAATGTATGAACAAGCATGAGTGCTGACTCCACGAGGCACCGAGGGGAAGGCAAGACGGCTCAGGTCCTCGCAGCCCTGACTGGGGAACAGCACTAAAATCCGAGCCAAACAGTGCTGAGATGAGAGACAAAAATCCACTGCCAACCCAAGTCTGACCCCAACCTCCTTGGGTGTGATGTCTGGTAGGAAAAAAATGCCTGGGGGAAGCTGAGATGCAATTATCCATCTCGGAGGGAGAAGGGACTGCGAGTTGCAGCCCCTGTGGTTGAGCGGGACGTACCTGGGGAGCTGGTGCAGCGGACGTGCAGCGGGTCGTCCAGCTTGGCCACAGCGTCCCGGAGGATGTCCTCGGCCTCCCGCACCGTCTCCTGCAGGATGCTGAACTGCTCATCCAGCAGCTTCTGCTGCAGGCTCTTCTCCTGGTTGCTCTGCAGGGTGGGAGGAACAGGTGAGTGGCACAACTGGGACACAAGAAAGATTCTAACCTGCTGTTAAGTTTTGCAAACTCATCTGGAAAATTCTGGGTCACAGGACCCCCATCATCGTGGCCCAATCACCAGGATATTCTTGAAGAATCCCTTTGCAAGATTAGACCCAAGCATCCCAAAATTGCTGGGGCAAGTCACATCCCACCGACAACAGCAGCAATAGCTTAGCTGAGCCCCCCCAGCTGCTCAGCACCCCCAAACACATCACACCCCAGTGAACAGAGGAGGCAGTGGGGCTCTCCACACAGCACCCTACCTTCTCCAGGAGCCTGCCCTGGAGATCACGGATCTCCCTCGTGGCCTTGTCCGCCTCCTGGCTCAGCTGCAGCTCCTTCTCCTCGACCAGGCCACGTGTGGAGAGCAGCTCACACTCCTTCTCACTCAGCGACCGCCTCAGCACCTCCTTCTCAGCGTGCAGGGCCTCCACCTGGGCGCTGAGCTCCGCACCTGCCTGCCAGCGGGGCCAGGAGACGCCTGTCACTCACCTGTCACCGTGTCACGAGCCCAACGGTCACGCAGCGGGGAGCTGAGGACATGCCCAGCTCGTGACACTGATGAGGTGGGCCCACGCTCAGCCCAACGTTGGCTCCCTGGGCTGCTGTTTGCACCGGTGGTTTGGCAGTGGCAGCAGACACGCTGCCTTGCACGACAGGGATTTGTGATGAGGGTTTTTTAGGCACACCCCGTGCCCCCACCTCGTACCTGCTTGACGTGGCTGAGCGAGCGCTGCGCCTGGTCCAGCTCGTCCCGCCGGGCGTCCAGCTCCTGCCGCAGCTGCTCCATCTGCACGCTCTGGTCCTCCAGCTGCGACCACACACCCGTGCTGGGGCTTCAGCCACTGCAAACGTGCTCCGGCCCCACTCGGCACCAGCACACAGCCAGAATGGCAGGAACGAGCCCAGATGTGTTTTGCACGAGGGGTTTTCAGGGTCTCAGGGAGTGGGGGTGGGAGGTGTAGGGCTCCTTTCCCCAGGGCAGGAATTTTGGGAGCAGCCCCCAGCTTGGGCCATGGAGAACAAAAGCCCCTAAACCCATCAATTTGCATTGTGGAATTTTCTTGGGGGAAGAAAAGGTAGGTTTGGGCAAGAGGGAATGAAGCACGCATTAAATAACACCTTCCTGAGGAACCAGGGCAACTCTTTCCTGGATCAAGGACTGACACCAAGAACCACCCCTACCCCGGGCACTCAAACAGGGCACAGCCACCGTGTTTCATGGGTTGGGAAGGGCTCGGTGCTGGGTGGTGAAGCCCCCGTAGCAGGGAAGGATCCGGGGCTGTGCCAGCTCACCTTAATCTCGGCCTCTCGCTTGACCTGCTCCACCTGAAACGCCAGCTGCTCCTTGACACGCGCCACCTCCTCCTGGCTCTGCTGCGTGACCGTCAGCTGCTTGGCGGTGTCGGCGTTCTGCGTGAGGACATGGGGCTTACCGGGCATTCAGAGGGGGAACCCCTGCCATGGCCACGCTCCTTCTGACCAAATTCAGGCTTGGGGGATACCTCCGAGACGCCTTTCTCATGGCGCCCAAAATGCTGACTGCCAGCGGGCATGAATTCAAGGGGTGCCCCCCCACCCAGTGCTCAGAGGTCCCTGGGTGCAGGATGATGGGATGGGGCAACACGAGCCGCGCTGGCCGAGGAACAAAGGCAGCGGTCAGTCCCTGCCTGGCGTAGGCAGCGGCGTTACCTTCCTCAGGAGCTCGGCGTGCGTGTTGATGAGCTCGCTGTGCTTCTCCTTCAGCTTCGTGTAGCGGATCTCAGTGGCGTTGGCTTTCTCTGAACAGGACGAGAAAGCATCAGCAACCGCGGCACGGGGGTCCCGCGGTCGACGGGAGCTGCAGGGCACCTACTTTCCGCTTCGGCGCAGAGCCGCTGGGACCTGTCACTGTCCTGCTTCGCTCTCTGCAGCCTCTCCAGCTCATCCCGCAGCTGCTCATTGTCCACCAGCGCCTTCTGCTTCTGCTTGCGCTGCTCCTCCACTTCCCCCTCCAGGCTGTTCACCTGCGCCTTGAGCTGTGTGATGTACCGCTGCGCCTGCGGGACACCGTCACTCAGGCACTGCCCTGCTCCAACGCTGCCAACGACTCTGCCCTCCCCAACATCCCTATTCAGGTGCCCGGCTGCAGTTCGGGCAGAGCAGCCATGAGATGCACAGGAGAGCTCTTCCCTCAGCCCCTGCAGCCACTCTGTCCCCAACTCTGGTTGGGACAGCAAAGGACAGGTCTCACACGTCTCCACCCCATCTCCATCAGGAGTCAGGTCCTGGCACTGGGAGAGGCCCCAAAACACAGCGCTGGGTGCCAGGACCCTGCTCCTGCCCCATCTCATCAGGGTTTCCACACTACAGCACCAAAAGACACCCCCACTCTCCTGCACCAGCTGCTCCCTGGCTGGGCTTTACCTCCAGTTTAATCTTGTCCATCTCTGCACGGAGCATGTCCACCTCCTTTTTCAGGCTCTCGATCTGTGCATCCCTGAGGAGAAAGGCAGGTTGGTACCACACAGCAGTGGCCACAACCCCTCTGCCACCATGGACCTCCTGTACCTGTCATCCCGAATGCCGTTGGGTGGCCCAAAAGTTTGCTCAAATATATCTGAGGTGATCTGGGGAAGACAGAGGGTGCTGAGCTGAGCCAGGCTGCGGGTGCCTGTGTCCCCCCGCCACCATCCCAGGGTCCCCATCCCATCCTTGTGCCCCACCTGTGGCTCTGTGGTAGAAGCTGTGCTGATCTCGATGAGGTTTTCTGGCTCCTCGTCCTCGGGGGCTTCCTCAGGGATGACAACCACCGGCTTCACGTGCTCAGCCAGCGCAGACGCCCGCAAGAAGTTTGGGGGGCTCTGCAGGGACAAGAAGTTGTGGCGGCATCACATGGAGTTTCAGGAACCGCTGCAGGCAGACCCCCGAGGGAAGGGAGGCAGCCAGCCCTTGCGCTGCTGAGATGTGCCAGCAGGTCCCTCTGCAGTGTCCCCAGACCCTGAACCCATCCGTGGGGACACCCCCGTGCTCCCTGAACCCACAAGCCCTCCAAAGCACCACACCGAAACGCAGCCGTACCTCCGGCAGCCGAGGGATCTGGATGAGCCGCTTGAAATACAGCATGTCAGATGCTTTCTTAAAGAAGTTTTTGAGGCTGGAGAGAGAGGAAAGAAAAACTGCTCGCAGGGGAGATGGGGAGGGGGCTTGGCAGGAGGGAGGGGACCCCACCACCCCACCTCAGCCCCGGGTTACCTGCGAAACTGCTCGTGGAAACGGTCTCGGTGGCCCTGCAGCGTGTCGGCTGGCAGACCTGCAGCAATGTAGGGGGAGAGCTGTGACTGATCCGGGGCTGCAAATTTATCCATCTGTGCCCAGATCCCTCTGGCTACAAAAGCCAGCGGGGTAATGGCCAGGTGGGAGCGGGATGGGAGCGATCAGGAGAGGAGCAGGGTGTCCCCATCCCCAGTGTAGGTACGGGGGATGTGGCACAGGGAGAGGTGGGCACGGGAACCCCGAAATACCCACACGAGGCCTCTGGCACCACGCTGGCCAATGATCCCATGCAAGGGGCTGGCGGGCCAAGGCACACTGGTTTGAATTCATCAAGGACTAATCCTTCTAATTCCTTCATCTGGGATGTCTACGTGGGATGGAGCAGGTCCTTACAGCCCGGCTGGGATACGGGGACATGGTGATGGATACATCCATCTACACCAGCCTAAACCCTGAGAATCCAGCCAGAAGCCTGACCCGGGAAAAGACCAGCGTGGGAGACATCCCCAGGGACTCACAGGAATGCAGCTTGAACATTAACTTGACAGAGTAGTGGTAGAGGTGGCTGCAGTCCTGGATGACCTGGATGAGGGGGGCCAGGCGGCACTGCACCGCCGACATCTGCGAGACCGCCATCGAGGTGTTGAGCTGCCTGAAAACTGGAGGGTTGAGCACAGTGAGGCGTCGGCACCGTGTTTGCAGAGCCATCCCGCTGCGGGCTACTCGGCTTGATCATTAACCACGACGGATGTGACTTTGCCACGACACGGCGCTGGGGTTTGCTGCCTGTCCTGTCCCGCTGAGCTGGGAACAACCCCTCTCCGAGCAAGAAAACACCCAAAGGGACCGTGGTGGCAGAGGGAAGGGGTGCTCAGCTCTGCCTCAGATACCCCAAAAAGCAGGGATTTAACCCCAGGATGATGCAAAGGCAGGACAGCTGCCCTCAAAAGCTGGGGAAGGCGAGGGGTTTTGCTCTGCTCATTGTGCAAGGAGCTGGGAGAGGATCCCAGGGCAGGGGACAGGCCCGCTGGCACCGTGGCCTCGCCTGCCCCGGCTCAGAAACAGATCCCTTCCCTTGGCAGAAATCCAGCCAGCATATCCACTGTGGCTTCTTCCCCGCTCCGCTTTAAAGTATTTATGAATATAAATTCTCTGTATAACTGGGTCAGGAGGAGAAGTGGGAGGCTGGTGGGAGCCGGGAGCACGGTGTCTCCCACTGCGCCCTGTTTTCCAGGGCAGCTCTGTGTCCCTGACTCACGACACGGGAGGAAACCGCTGCATTTTTCAAGTATCTAAAAATTCCTGGAGGAGGCGGCAAGACAAGCAAACATGGGCAGGGGCCTCCAACCCTCCCCGGAGGTATTTCAACAAGAGGAAATAAGTATTTAGAAAGAGGTACAGCCCTGTCCTCTGCTTTGGGGGGACAGAAAGGATTTGGGTAACGCATATGAGTAACATGATTAAAGAAAAGAAATAAAAACATATTTGAGAGCGGCACCGCTCTGAAAACACCACACTGCATCGGTCAGGTGGGCTAAAACCAGCCACGTTCCTTAAATATTTTCCTACAACCGCCTCTACAGAGCATCAACAGGGGAATCTGGCTGAGGAATGACCTCAGAAATCTCTCCAGAGGAGGAGGAAGGACCTGAACCAGCCTCCCAAGCCAGAACTCTATTCCTGACCAAAGAGCGAAACTATTGCTCAACAGCCCCGGGGCAAACAGGAGGGACCTGCCGCCTCCTCACCTGACTCCGACAGCTTCAGTTCGCAGTCCAGGTAGTCGAACAGCTCAACTGTCAGCTGGAAGCTGCCAAAAAAAAGCAAAACCCTGTCACCCAGCGGCGGAGACATCCTTGCTCTGGTTGCTCACGTTTGCTGCAGGCCGCCACGCCAGCAAAGGCTCAGATTGATAAGAATTTGCTGTGTTTGCTCCCCACATTTTCGCTCCTCATCACTCTGAGGGTGCAGGAGGAATCAGGCATCATCCAAACCGTTTACAGAACAGCGATGGCTGCCCTGAACAGGAGCTGTTTTGTTAGCAGGATGCTGCCAGACGGGCAGCACAGAGCCGGCGACCACGCTCTGGGTGCTGAGCTCCTGCCAAGACACTCACATGTTGTTCACGTCCGTCCCTGCGGTCTTTTCCAGCACTTCATCCGACACTTCGAGGCTCGGGGGGAACTCAGGATGCTTTGTAAAGGGAAAAAAAAAAACCAACCAACAAACAGCAGTTGCTTCTAATATTTTTGCTGGTACAACATACACCCTGGCAAAACCCTGTCCCCCCGGCACGGCGGGGTGTAGAGGTGGCAGAGGGTCTCACCTTGGCATGGAAGGAGATCTTGGTGAGGAGGAGCCGCGTGTAGATGCTCACCAGCTGCCCGTACCTGTCGTGCAAATGGCCCTGCCAGAGACACGAGGGGAAACATGGTGAATCCAGAGCGATGTGATCGGATCCAGCAGAGCCCACGTGCACCAGTGACCCTGCGCCAGCCCTACGGCTCCTCCCCTCTTTGCCCTTCACCACATGGGTAACCGTCACCCAGCGGGGTCAGCAACGACGGGTTATTTCAGGTGGTGCTCTGCCCTCCTCCTGCCCACAATGTTTTTCAGAACCCACCCCCAAACCCCCCAGAAGGGACAAACCTCTGCTTTGCCCCACTCACCCACAGGTCTCCTGTCTCTCGGATGTTGCTGCGGTACCTCTGGCAGTCCTGGAGGACCTGGGGAAAAAAATTGGAGGGATGTGGCATGGTGGGGCTGGCATGGAGCTGGGCAAGCACCCATCTGCCTGCCCTGAAGCTGGGAAGAGGATGGATCCAGCCCCTTGTGCCGCTCCAGCTCTGGAAGAAGGAGTTCAAGCCCTTCAATGGCAACCAGAAGTCGGGGCTTTGCATGGGGAAGCTTCAGAGGTGTGAGATAACAGAATGTTTCACAGCCCCACAGCCTGGGAAAGGCGTCCGGGGCAGGGAAGGAAACCCATCCTCTGCACAGCAGGACAACAGCGAGAGCCAAAAATTCTACCCCCCGATAGCAACGCAGGAGGGAGGTTTCAGAGGGGACACTCACGTTGGGGTGGCCGTCGCGCAGGACCTTGTGCAGGACATGGCAGAACTTCCAGCTGAGGATGGCACTGCTGGGCAGGGGCAGCCCGATGGCGTAGGACCAGAAGGTGAACGCTCCCTTCTCATGGTGTGTCCCCAGGATGATCCCTTCCCTGCGGTCAAGGCCAACCAGACACACAGGGGACAGGCCAGGCTGGAGACTATTCCTGTTCAGCCTTCATTAAAAAGGGGACACGCACCGAGTGTACTGCAGGCACAGAGCTCACCGGCGTGATGCTGCCCTCGCGGATAAAACCATTTATTTTCCTCTGGTGCACCTTCCCCTGCTGCAGGGCATGCCGGGGCCCTTTGCATTTTGTTGCCAAAGAAACGCTATTTTATTGCGCTGCTTTTGTTTGCGTTTTCACTGATGCACAAACCTACGTGATGCCATCCCCCAACCAAGCTCTACGTGGGTCTCCTGCCTCCCAAACCTCCCGTGGGGTAAAATCCCTCCAGGTGAGCCAAGAGAAAGGATACGGCGGGCATGTTTCTCCTTCACCGGTGCTTCTTGTGTATTTATGGCTTTGCTGATGCTGATGGCCTGCGAGAGGAGGAGAAAGCAGCCATCACCAGCAGCACAACCCTCATGGACCCCAACCCACATCCCCCCCAGGTGAAGAGCTGGGTGTGCTGCCAGCTGGGAACAGCCTGGCCACGGGGCACTTTTGGGTAATACTCTGAATTTTATAAGACATTTGTCACCTTAAAGCCATTCACGACGCATCAAAATAGGCTTTTTTATCCGTGATCAAAGCGGCCTGTTAAACCCCCCACTACCCATGCTCAGCTGCTGCTGCTCCCTGCTGTCCCCGTCCCAGGAATCAAACAGCTTTTTTACAGACTGAACTCAGCGCCATGCCCAGGGAGCATTAAAGCACGACAGCAAGATGTCAAATTCCAGGGTTGTTTCTTTAATCACAAGAAGCCTTTGAACCAAGGGGTGGTGGGTTTGGGGTTTGGTTTTTTTTTTTTGATGGCATCGCTGCGTGCCAACAGCACATGGGGAAAATGCAGCCCCTAAGCAAGGAGAGAGTGGCAGCCACAATTCCCGTTTTGATGGAGCAAAAATCCAGAGCAATGTGATTATCAGGGGAGGATTATCTACATTTTAACGTGTTTGATCACAGCACACTTTGAATGATGAGGTTATTCCAAAAGACAACCCCTAGACAGGGGTCGGTTGCATCTCCTGTGTGATGACAGGCTGTAAAACTGAGTTTCTGTGATTGATGAGCATCTCCCTCCTCCTCCTCCCCAGGCCCCTGCAGACTCAACTGAGCTGCTTCACCCTCGTACAAGTGCTTGGGCTGGGCCCGTGTCCACGAGCCTTCGGTCACCGTCAGAGGAAAAAGGTCCCAGCCGGGAAGGCAGGAAGCAGCCCCGCCACCACGCTCATGCCGGAAGAGAAACTCGGTTCCTCCCTGCAGCCCCACAAGGCGTAAAACCTTATAAAAATCTTATCTCTCCCCCAGGGGAAAGCACCTGCTTCAACACGGCTGCTTGTCCCGGAGACGCCTCCGAATTGAGGCACCTTCCTGCAGAAGGAGGAACCCGACGCCGAGTTATCAAATGCTCCTGACTTATGCAGGAGGAACCCGACGCCGTGCCAAAGGGGCCGCGTCAAAGGTGTTGATGCACCAAATCGGCCCCAAACGAACCCGAAATGGCTATGCCCGTGAGTCGGGCACAACAGCGGGAAAACCACTGTACTGTGAACACGTCACAAAAAGCGAGCCAGCCCCAAAACACTGAGTCCAGTCGCTGGGAAAAGATGGCAGTTTTGCCTTCCCCGCACCAGGGAAGCCCTGGTGTTACCCCAACATGTGGAGCCATAAAGCAGCAGCAGAGTTAAGCCAGCGACTTGCTGTAATCCTCTTATCCCCAAAGGTTAACAAGCCTGGAGTGCCCAGGAACAGGCAATTGCAGCACAGCTGCCTCTCCCAAAGCACCCAGTAACTCCGAGCCACCCAAAAGCCTGGAGCCGGCAGAGAAGCTGCACCATCGACCGCAGCTCGGGCGGTGAGACATGCCATGGGCGGCCAGCACCTCCCAGTACAGCACCAAAGCGATAGTTTACTGACAGAAAGCAAGGTTTAGCATGTGCCGGAGAGACACAAGTTGACAGTTTTGCAAGGCAGGGCTTGGAAACGCATCCTCCAGTGAAGAGCTGCTAAAGGGGTTATTGCATGTTACTTCGGTGCTTTGCATAGGTGGGGAGCGGGGCAGACAGCTCCCAAACCTGGATTTGCACCACTCGCCGCATGCGGGAGCAGCAGAACGCGCCCGTCCCAACCCATCGCGCCCGCCCCAACCCATCGGCAGGAGCCGGGCTCAGCCCCGAGCCCCGCAGGGCCAGGAAAAGGTGCAGCCAGAGGGGCCAATGTGCGAGATGAAGGCTGACCCCCAGAAAACACCATCCCACATCCCCAGGGAGGGGAGCTCAGCCGCCCGGCACTGCCCAGCAGGATGGGGATAGGGCTGGGACTCAGCTGGCCTGCCCCAAAACCAGGCTGTAATTCCAATTGGTGTTGGTGGTTTTATTGCAGTTATTGCCCATAATCTCATTTCCAGCCCAACCAGCCAAAATTCAGCCCGGGGGCTGCCGGAGAGGCTGGTTTCACCCTTGGTGATTCAGTGCAGAGGCTTTAACTGAGCCATTTTACATCCAGCACAGAGGAGCGGACCCGTGCGGGGGCACCCCCCAGCACCACCATGTCCAGTGTGGTCCCAAATAAATCATGGTGGCACCGAACCAATGCCAATCCCTTGGGGCTGGCAGCTCACACGTGCCCTTGCTGTCTCCAGAGCCCAGGCTGGCCAAGAGGTCCCCAAAAAGGAGAAGGTGGGACTGAAGATGGGCACGAGGAGACGCTGCAGCCTGGGATGTGTGGGGCTTCAGCATGTTCCTGCCGGCTGCCTGGTGAAGCTGGGCTGCGGTGGACGGCTCCAGAACGGGGAGATTCACCCTTGACCCAGCCTCTTGGGACATCACTGGCACACCCGGAGATGGGCAGATCCCCACTGCCACTGCAGGCCCACAACCAGCCTGGCTGAAAGCTGCGCTCCCCATCGCTGCGGGGGAGCGGTGCAGCCCCAGCCCCACCGGTTGGGGGGGGTCCAACCCCAAAACCTGCCCAGCCACGGGCCGTGGGAGCCCACACGGGTGCAGCCCAAATGCCTTACTCATAGCCCTCACGTACCAAGCCGGTGACTAAAGCTGGGATCAAAGCACCCAAATGAAGGAGCACAGTTTACATCCACCCGTCTTTTGCAGGCTGCTTTTAATTACGGTGTGATCCTCCCTACCCACAGCTCCCCGAAACCCTGGCATCCTGCAGGGCCGCAATCCCCACCCGGCAGGTGGATGCCGGGTTCCGGCACAATGCCGTGGCAGGGAATGGTTTTTTGGCAGCAGGATGTTGAGCTGGAAACCTCCCCGGCTGGGCGGCACAAGGGCTGCCAGATCAGCTGAATCGCAAACGGCGGCTCCGGAGTTCCCTTCCTAGTGCTTCTTTTTCTTGAATTACACCAAAAAAAAAAAGCACCACTTGGCCATCTTACATGCTGGATTCCTGGCAGTTCAGGAGCTCACTGGATTTTTAACCTTCTTACTCAAGGAAAGCAAAAATTGGCCACAGAAAAGGGCAAGTTTTGCCCCCTGTCAGGCTGCAGAGCGAGTGCCCACTGCGGGACGGTGGCTTCCCACCTCGCACGTGCGGCTGCTCTGAGGGGGGTACCTGCATCACCCTGACACGAGACCTCAAAAAGCATTTTCAGAGAAAGCAGGTGACCTCCACATCACCCACAAGCACCCAGGATCACACCAGGAGCAGTAACCCCTGTCTGCACCCGCAGGCATCATCCCAGCCTTTGCATGGGGAAAGGAGACGGCGCGCTGGGTTTTGGCAGTGACCTTCTCCGGGGTGGTGTGAAACCCTCGGCCTGCGAAGGCGCACGGAGGGGACGTGCCACCAGCATCCCCACGGTACAAAGGCGACCGGCAGCCGTCTCTGCAGCTGCTATAATTAGACGTAAAAGGCAGATCAATACCCACATACTGACATTGAAACGGTTTTGCTCTCACCTGAAGCACAGCTATGGGAAACCACATTAGGATAAAGCTTCTTTAGGACAGTTTTTCAGCAGTTGCTGGATAAAAAAGGTCAGTTCTAGGTGGTGAGTGTGCCCACCTGCCAGCAAGCCCGGGGTTTAAGCTCTCACAGAGAGCGACCACCCGCTCGTCCCGTACGCAGCTCTGCCCGTGACATCCCTGTGACTGCGAGAAAAGTCGCACCCACGCAGGGCACAAATCCCACCAGAAAGCCCAAAAGGCCGTGGAAGGGTGAGAGGGAGGAGGGACGTGCTCCCACCCGCCTGGCACAGGCTGCCCTTCGGCGCACGAGGCAGCGCTGCCGCCGCGATTATTTATCAGCGGTGCCCAGCGGGACGGTTGAAGGAGACGCGTCCAGAAGGAACTGGAATTGCCGGTTTTCTCATGTTGCTCCCCAAACTCAACAAGCTCCGTTCCCTACCAAGCATGGCCAAGTGGCACCGTGACCCCACAATGCCCAAAACCACCACCTGCCTTTACCGGCACTCTCCGGAGCCCAACCAGCCCACGGGGCAGGGAAGGACCAGCAAAGCAACAAAGGGGAAAAATATCTGCGATGAATTGGCAGCCTGCAAAATCAGAGAGGTCAGAGGATGTGTGCCGGGAGGGCACTATTATTTTTGCTGGGGCAGCAGGCGAGCCCGTCCCTCGGTCCATGGTGCTCACGCTGCCGGAGCGATGAGTTTCCCACAAGCTGTACACAGCCCCGTCGCGCCCAGCATCGCCCACCCTGCGGGGGCCACAGGAAAGGGGACAGACCCCCCCATCCAAGCCGGACACCGTGAGGCACAAACATTTTGGGGCTTCATTTTCACCCTGCCACTCTCTCCGGGACCAGACACCCTAACCCCCGCGGGGAGATCCCACGTGTGACCCGTCCCCCGGGTAAAACAGCCCCCGGTTTCACAGGGGCAGCCCGTGCCGCCGCCGGGCCGGGGCCGGGGGGATCGTAGGGATGCAGAGATGCACGTTACCGGCGCGGCGGGCACCGGGAGGCGGCCCCGGGCTCGGCCGCGCTCCCGCCGGCACTGCCGGGGCCATCCAAC